AAGGAACAGAATAAATTCAGCTAATTGGCTTTTGCCATTCAAATTATTCATGCTAATTAGGTCTCTGGAGCATACAATATGTACTCATCGGGGAGAAAGATAAACTAATACACAAGATAATATAAGGCTGGAGAGCATACCGCAAGCACCATGGAGCACAAGAAAGAACCAACAGCTGCATCTCGGCCAGACTGTATAGGGCATCGCATCAGATATTCGCACATAAGCAGAAGCATTGGAGTTGCGACAGCATGCCGGAAGTCGGAGCAGGGGAATATAAGAGACCATAACCTCAGTAGAAGTAATGTCTTCAAACTAGGCAAGCTGCTTTTTCCTGTAAGTTTAAAGAGACAACATAATAAGGATGGCAGATTAATGACAACAAAACCAATTTCCAGTTTAAAAAAGAATGGCCTCAGAAACCTGGAACTTTGATGTCTTCACATAGACGAGCACGTGTACGAGTAAGTCGTTCCCTAGCACATATTGCAGCAAAATATGGTGTCTCTCCACTCATCTCAACTAAGGGTTTAACAAGGGTCTCAATTACTTTAAACTTCACTGGACTTTGAGTAGCTAAAACTGCAAAATACTGCAGGAGAACACCATAGAAAACCTGCAAAATATTTGAGTATACATTGATGGCTGCAATGGGAATGATAATGAATAATTAAGTAAATATATTTGGTAATAACCAGATGAATTTAGTTTACCACATACTTGCATTTTCTTTCTGTTTTCAGGTGTGAGCCTTATTGAATTGCAAGTACGTATCCGGCTTATAATCTCAGCTATTTCAGTTTCTGAGCGACCATCGACCAAGGAGCATAGATCTTGTAAGTTGTTTGGTGCTTCTATCACAAAAGGTAGGTCTTCATCCTTGCCAGGTGGTTTTTGCTTCGCATTAGATACTCTCTTCAAATTTTGTGCATTTGTTTTCAAAACTTTTTCCCCAATAACTTGTTCTTTATCTTTGACATCATCCTTTTCATCTTCTTCTACAGCAACCTCATCGTCGTCGCTTTGCTCCCAGTCCCTTGCCGGCATATTACGGAAGTCATTATCACTAGAATCCTCTTCATCGCCAGCATCTTCTTCTTCATCCTCATCCTCATCTTCACCGCTGTCATCACTTCCTTCATCGCCAGATGCTACACCTTCACCTATCTTTCTACCCTCATTCTCATAAATTGCATCAACCCAACCTTTTTTCCTTTTTGCTGGCTCGTCAAAAGAGAAGGAATCACCAAGATCATCGCCAGATATAGGTTTTGAGTTATCCGCCCTCATATGATGATCACCATCCTCGCTATCATCATCTTCTTCATCAGAGGACTCAGCAGTTCCAAGCATCCGCTTGTGACGTTCCTTCTACAATGTCATTAAGCATCAGCAAGCGATTTAATATCAGTACTTCCATCAGCAAAAACACCACTGATGTATTAGAATTATAAGCTAAACCTAAAATCACACTAGAGTTCACAAAAACAACTGTAGGATGGACAGAAAAGGCAAATTTTAAATATGCAAGCAGCAGTTGCATCCAATGCAACTAGATCGGACGAACCTCCAACTTCTCAAGACGTTCTTTTTCTTCCTGAGCTAGTTCTTCTGGGGTTTTTGTCCTGTCTGACGGGCGAGCACGTTGATCCATCACCATTTCTTTCACCAGTTTGTCGTATGCATCTGGCTTTTCCTGGAATGCAACAAACAATATGCAACTTCAGTACCAGGAACTGACAAAGATAACATATTTACAGGCCCATGCACAACAATCAAAATTTGCGAAATTAGAAGTGGACATGCTGCTGTACACACTTCATCCCAAGGTACCAAATGAGAGGAGCTACTCCACCAAGGACGTGCATATCTTTAGAATAGACACATAAACTGGTCCACAAAATTTAAAGCAAAACAACTAATGGGCTACCATGTGCAGTCTACTATTTTCTCTTTTCAAGCTTCATGTGTGTGCAGTGTTCGGTGTGTGCACCAACTTCTAACAACATAACAGAGGTTCCACCCATGCTACCAGCTTAATTGTCAACTGAAAGCTATGTAATATAATGAATAATCTTGGGCTTGTTGATGATCTAAATAGGAAGACAAGCATTAAATGCTACCTTATTGAAAATCTCCTTTCCGGTCAGACCAGATGAACCTTTATGGATTGTACTTGAATTGTTTTTATGTGTGTTCACTCTAGCTGACTCGGTCAGGGATAGAAGTGCTGGCGTCTGGGCCAGCAATGCAAAATCACTATCTAACTTGTCAACAAGATGTTCATCCTCTTCCTTTTCCTTGGCTTTTTGGGCCTGCAACAAGACAAAATTATGTTAACGTAGCCACTTCATGCTACAAATATGGAAATAGAAGAATGCATAATAACAAGTCATGTACACAACCCCAGCAGACCTGCATACCAATCTAATGAGGTCATGTATAAAGCAACATGGAACTATAATGGAAATAGGAGGTGGCTGGATTGGAATGAGTCCAATACTATTGTCTTAGGAAGTTAAGGAGTCTAATATGTCCGAGTTCAAGCTGTGCATCCAGTATATAAGAATGATATCCTCTGTTTATCTAATCCCTCACATCCACATATATCTTCACCGCACTGATAAACACTTGGGGGCTGTTTGGATCATTGCCCCAAGGCGCCCTGCCAAAATATTGGTAGTTGACCAGCTCTAGGTATCCATTTGGTTGCAAGCCAAATAATTGGCACGCCCATACCTCCACAACATCTCTAGTTCAATTCCCAACCAATATTTTGGCAAGGCATGGGCGGCCGATTCCTGCGCCAATATTTTCGCAAGCCAACGATTGGCAAGGCTGGCGCTGGCTCAAACCAAACAGACCCTTGGTCATTTTTGTCATGGAAGGCACTAAGGCAGACATACAAAGCTATATCAAGGCTTCTTTTGATTACCTTTGAAAACAATTTGGAAAAAAAGCAAAGACCAAGAGTTGAAAACAGTGAAATAAGCATCATGTATCGAACCAAAATAATAATTTGTAGGGAAAATTCAAAACAGTTTATTTAAGTTTCAGAATGATAAGAAATGTTCTAGGTGATAGCCCAAGACAGAAATAAAGAGGCAGCAACAGAAGGAATAACGTTTTTTATACACATGGGATACTCTACCTTGTAAAATTTACTCTTCAAAATGATCTCTGACATAACTTCCTTTTTGCTCTTGTGACCCTGCAAACAGGAGCAAATAGATTAAGCACACAGCATATCAATTACAGATGAGATCTAAATGTAGTTCGTAATTCCTAGGAAACATTACATGTGTTTCTCCAGGTAGGTCAGTTTCTGAAGGGAGATCACTACTTTGGAGAGATAGGCGCTTCTTTGAGAGCGTGTTACCTGAAAATACAAAAGGTTAAGCACATTAAGCAAAATAGAAACATTAACATCAGTTCCTGTAGATGGGGATTCTAATCCTTATAAAGTTGTAATATGTTAACATAAATAATTTCTCCAATAACACCATCGTACATTCCCAAAGCTGAGTCTAGCAAACTAAGTGCCAAAATTGAAACTAGGTCATGTGTGATATAGGGGAAAATCAGTGGTTACCAAAGGTGGAGACCACAAGGGATTTTAGATACTGAACAATAACAAACATTGATAGCTAAATCAAATATCTACGGTACAAAGTTATGTTATGCTATCTTATCAGTTTTACTAGGGACAACCCCATCCCAGATTATTTTGAGTCGGACGTGTAAAATTCCAACCCATGCTTTGGATTCCAATTGTTATTCGCCAACGTCAAGAAATTCTTGCCAAGCCAGAGACCTAAATTCAAGACAATTCCAACACCTGTATGAGCCCGTAACACTTGCATCCCTCAGAATAAATAGAATGAGCAAATTTCAGAATCTCTCAGAGCAAACCTAAAGCTACGCGTCAGACTACAGTAATCTACAGAATCTCTCAGAAGAACAAGCAGAACTCCAAAAGGTTTGTTTTGCAGGCCATCGACAAAAAAATAATTTATTTTGGATTGACAACATATATCTTTTAGTCTTTAAAATGCTCTAATCCCAGTTTATGTGTCCAGCCTTTGGCCCCAGGAATCTACACGACAAGCAGAACTTCAAAAGATTTGTTTTAGTCTTTTAAATGCTCTGTTTCAGATAATAAACTAAAAGCTAACTTAAAATACCACAGTAGTTTGTAAAATACAAATGTGAGATACATACGTACATAACACAGGAGACTCAGAAGTACCCCACGAAGCCAAAAAAATATGGGCTTAAAACACACCTTCTTCATCACTGTCGTCACCAATAGGCACCTCTTCATTGAAATCATCATTTCCCAAAAGCGTGTGAGAATCCTCGTCATCCTCCTCATCGGACAGATTGAATTTGCTTGCTCGTTTCAACTTCGCCTAGAAACCATGAGAAAGGGAGGAAACTTAACAAACTCTTGGACACACACCGCCGCCGTTACCAAAATGAGAAAGAGCACTTCGACCGCAGACTTGCAATGCGTGGCACATACTGATAGACAGAAATGAAGGGGACAAAACATGCATACATTTGTTCCTATAACACAACAAGAACACTGGTTTCCCTATTTGCATCTCTAATCCATGCAGTTTATGTGTCCAACCTTGGACCCAGGAATCTCATTGTTGACTAGAGAATGCTGCGCTAACAGAGTGACTCTGGATATAACGAGGTAAGCGGCACATACCATGTGCTCTCGCTGCTGACGGAGGATGGCCTTGTCGTACTCGGGCAGAGTCTCGTCCCTCTCGCCGATGCGCCGGTCATGGAAGACCGACGACTTGGCGCTCTGCTCGAACTCCTTGAGCAGGGTGTTCTCCCTCTGCAGCAACCAAGCCATGCCGCGGCATCAGGCCAAAGAATCGAGCTTCGCCCGAAAATTGCTCGGTCTATTAGCAGTTCAGCACTTACCTTGTGGATAGCGTCGGAGCGGGAGCGGGAGGTGCGCCTCTCCTCGCCCTTGCGCTTCTTGCCGAGCACGTCGAACTTGCGGCGCGACCAGATGGCCTCGAAGGGGTTGCTCCGCTCCGCCGCCGCGGCCCCGGCCCCGCGCGCCTTCATGGCCACGGCCGCCGGGCCGTTCCTCCCCTTGATGTTGCCCTTGCCTTTCTTCTTGTTATTATGCTTCTTGTCCGCCGCGGCCGCACCGGCTGCCGTCGGCTTCGTCTTCGCCATGGCCGAGACGGAGCGCCACGTCGCGGGGCGGCGGCGAGGTGGCTGCGGGACGAGACGGGCGGCGGCGGCGGCGTGGTGGTGGCGGCTCCGCGCGAGGAGAGGTGCGTTATGTGCAACACCCCTGCTATGGGCCGTCGCCGTATGTTTCGTAACCTAGGCCTGGGCTACAAGATGGGCCTCTTATTGCATCCCTTGAGGCCGGGTCCCACATGACAGTCGCAGGGCGCACAGAGGGAGCAGAGGCCGAAAGAAGAGCACCGAACGAGCACGAAACAGGAGGTTTGGGCGCCGGAGAAGAGGAGCAAGAGGGAGGTGCGGAGGAGGATGCAGCCGTCGCCGGCGGCGGGCTGGTCGGTGACGGCGCTGGAGGGAGAGACGAGAGAGGGGACGTGGGGATCGGTCTCCTTTTTTTAGGGTAAAGTCCAAGTTTATTCATGAAAGTCCACATGGAGTGGGATACATCTGAGGTCACGGGGCACATCAAACGTGGCGTCACGGGCCTTTAAAAAACGAAAACTTGACTGAACGATGTGCTTCTACATTGACAGCACGACTCTTAAACACAAAAATGCAAATAAAAGAAGATGATCTAAGATTTATCTCACGACTTCGTGGCTTCTTCATCCCAATTGTGTGCTCTCTGAGGTTATGCACGGACTAGGCTCGCGGGACTAGGCGCTAGGGTTTCCCCTTCTCCCCTTCCGTCGCCGCCGGCCGCCGACCTCGCACCCTGCCTCCGCCCCCCTTCCGCCCTTCCACTTCCTTCGTCCAGATCCACCTCGCGCCGCCTCCCCGGGAGGTGGCCGGGCGGAGCTCGAGCTCCTCTCCCGCGGGTCCCTTCCTTCCCCGTCTCCCCCCACCGCTGCCGGCAGGCGCCCCAGGCGCTGGCCCGGGTGGTGCCGGCGGTGGCGGGCCTTCTCGTCCCCGCGCGCGCGTGCTCCCTTCCCGGGGCAGGGAGGCGGCGACGGTGCAGCCCGACTTGGCTGCGGTCCAGCAGCCCTGTGGCGGCGGCCGGCGGCAGGCGTGGTGACGGCGCCGCTGTTGGAGAACGTAGCAGAAATTCAAAATTTTCCTACGTGTCACCAAGATCTATCTATGGAGAAACCAGCAACGAGGGGAAGGAGAGTGCATCTACATACCCTTGTAGATCGCTAAGCGGAAGCGTTCAAGAGAACGGGGTTGAAGGAGTCGTACTCGTCGTGATCCAAATCACCGGAGATCCTAGTGCCGAACGGACGGCACCTCCGCGTTCAACACACGTACAGCCCAGTGACGTCTCCCATGCCTTGATCCAGCAAGGAGAGAGGGAGAGGTTGAGGAAGACTCCATCCAGTAGCAGCACAACGGCATGGTGGTGGTGGAGGAGCGTGGCAATCCTGCAGGGCTTCGCCAAGCACCGCGGGAGAGGAGAAGGGAGAGAGGTAGGGCTGCGCCAGGGAGAGGTCAAAACTCATGTGTTGGCAGCCCTCAAGACCTCAACTATATATAGGGAGAGCGAGGGGGTGTGCCCCCTCTAGGGTTTCCACCCCAAGGGGTGCGGCAGCCCCAATCCCATCTAAGGGTGGCGGCCAAGGGGGGAGAGGGGAAACTTGCCCCCCAAGTTAGGTGGAAGCACCCCTTCCTCAAAACCTAGGCGCCTTGGGCCCTTGTGGGGGGGCGCACCAGCCCACCTGGGGCTGGTCCCCTCCCACACTTGGCCCAGGCAGCCCTCCGGGGCCGGTGGCCCCACTTGGTGGACCCCCGGGACCCTCCCGGTGGTCCCGGTACGTTACCGATAAAACCCGAAACTTTTCCGGTGACCAAAACAGGACTTCCCATATATAAATCTTTACCTCCGGACCATTCCGGAACTCCTCGTGACGTCCGGGATCTCATCCGGGACTCCGAACAACATTCGGTAACCACATACAAACTTCCTTTATAACCCTAGCGTCATCGAACCTTAAGTGTGTAGACCCTACAGGTTCGGGAACCATGCAGACATGACCGAGACGTTCTCCGGTCAATAACCAATAGCGGGATCTGGATACCCATGTTGGCTCCCACATGTTCCACGATGATCTCATCGAATGAACCACGATGTCAATGACTCAATCAATCCCGTATACAATTCCCTTTGTCTAGCGGTATAGTACTTGCCCGAGATTCGATCGTCGGTATACCGATACCTTGTTCAATCTCGTTACCGGCAAGTCTCTTTACTCGTTCTGTAACACATCATCCCGTGATCAACCCCTTGGTCACATTGTGCACATTATGATGATGTCCTACCGAGTGGGCCCAGAGATACCTCTCTGTTTACACGGAGTGACAAATCCCAGTCTCGATTCGTGCCAACCCAACAGACACTTTCGGAGATACCTGTAGTGCACCTTTATAGCCACCCAGTTACGTTGTGATGTTTGGTACACCCAAAGCATTCCTACGGTATCCGGGAGTTGCACAATCTCATGGTCTAAGGAAAAGATACTTGACATTAGAAAAGCTTTAGCATACGAACTACGATCTTTGTGCTAAGCTTAGGATTGGGTCTTGTCTATCACATCATTCTTCTAATGATGTGATCCCGTTATCAACGACATCCAATGTCCATGGTCAGGAAACCGTAACCATCTATTGATCGACGAGCTAGTCAACTAGAGGCTTACTAGGGCATGGTGTTGTCTATGTACCCACACATGTATCTGAGTTTCCTATCAATACAATTATAGCATGGATAATAAATGATTATCATGAACAAAGAAATATAATAATAACTAATTTATTATTGCCTCTAGGGCATATTTCCAACAGTCTCCCACTTCCACTAGAGTCAATAATCTAGTTCACATCGCCATGTCATTAACACTGACAGGTCACATCGTCATGTGACCAACATCCAAAGAGTTTACTAGTGTCACTAAACTAGTTCACATCACCATGTGTTTAAGACTCAATGAGTTCTGGGGTTTGATCATGTTTTGCTTGTGAGAGAGGTTTTAGTCAACGGGTCTGCAATATTCAGATCCGTATGTACTTCACAATTCTCTATGTCATATTGTAAATGCTGCTTCCACGCTCCACTTGGAGCTATTCCAAATGGTTGCTCCACTATACGTATCCGGTTTGCTACTCAGAGTCATTCGGATAGGTGTTAAAGCTTGCATCGACGTAACCCTTTACGCCGAAATCTTTATCACCTTCATAATCGAGAAACATGTCCTTATTTACTCCAAGGACAATTTTGACCGCTGTCCAATGATCCATTCCTGGATCATTCTTTGTACCCCTTGACTGACTCATGGCAAGGCACACTTCCGGTGCGGTACACAGCATAGCATACTATAGAGCCTACGTCTGAAGCATAGGGGACGACCTTCGTTCTTTCTCTCTTTTCTGCCGTGGTCGAGCTTTAAGTCTTAACTTCATACCTTACATCTCAGGCAAGAACTCCTTCTTTGACTGATCCATCTTGAACACCTTCAAGATCATGTCAAGGTACGTGCACATTTGAAAGTACCATTAAGCGTTTTTGATCCATCCTCATAGATCTTGATGCTCAATGTTCAAGTAGCTTAATCCAGTTTTTCCCTTGAAAAACACTTTTCAAATAACCCTATATGCTTTCTAGAAATTCTACATCATTTCTGATCAACAATATGTTTACAACATATACTTATCAGAAATTCTATAGTGCTCCCATTCATTTCTTTGGAAATACAAGTTTCTCATAAACTTTGTATAAACCTAAAATCTTTGATCATCTTATCAAAGTGCACATTCCAACTCCGAGATGCTTACTCCAGTCCATGGAAGGATCGCTGGAGCTAGCATACCTTTTAGCATCCTTAGGATCGACAAAACCTTTCTGATTGTATCACATACAACCTTTCCTTACAAAACTGGTAAGGAAACTCGTTTTGACATCCATCTGCCAGATTTCATAAATGCAGCTAATGCTAACATGATTCCGACGGACTTAAGCATCGCTACGGATGAGAAAATCTCATCGTAGTCAACTCCTTGAACTTGTGAAAAACTCTTCGCCACAAGTCGAGCTTCATAGGCGGTGACATTACCGTCCACGTCCGTCTTCTTCTTAAAGATCCATTTATCTCAATGGCTTGCCGATCATCGGGCAAGACCACTGAAGTCCATGCTTTGTTATGATACATGGATCCTATCTCGGATTTCATGGCTTCTAACCATTTGTCGGAATATGGGCCCACCATCGCTTCTCCATAGCTCGTAGGGTCATTGTTGTCTAGCAACATGACCTTCAAGACAGGATTACTGTACCACTCTGAAGTAGTACGCATCCTTGTCACCCTACGAGGTACGGTAGTGACCTGATCCAAAACTTCATGATCACTATCATAAGCTTCTACTTCAATTGGTGTAGGCGCCACAGGAACAACTTCCTGTGCCCTGCTACACACTTGCTGAAGTGACAGTTCAATAACCTCATCAAGTCTCCACCATCCTCCCACTCAATTCTCGAGACAAACCTTTCCTCGAGAAAGGACCCGATTCAAGAAACAATCCCTATTGCTTTCAGATCTGAATTAGGAGGTATACCCAACTGTTTTGGGTGTCCTATGAAGATGCATTTTATCCGCTTTGGGTTCGAGCTTATCAACCTGAAACTTTTTCACATAAGCGTCGCAGCCCCAAACTTTTAAGAAACGACAACTTAGGTTTCTCCAAACGGTGTCGTCTCAATGGAATTACATGGTACCCTATTAAAGTGAGTGCGGTTGTCTCTAATGCCTAACCCATGAATGACAGTGGTAATTCGATAAGAGACATCATGGTACGCACCATATCCAATAGGGTGCAACTATGATGTTCGGACACACCATCACACTATGGTGTTCCAGGCGGTATTAATTGTGAAACAGTTTCCACAATGTCTTAATTGCGTGCCAAAGCTCGTAACTCAGATACTCATCTCTATGATCATATCATAGACATTTTATCCTCTTGTCACAATGATCTTCAACTTCACTCTGAAATTACTT